TAAGTCACAGCACATATACTGCACTTGTCTCTCAGCCTGTAAAGGGGGACAGCATGGGAGGAGAGGAATTAGCCTCGGCGGCGTTCTCACTGGCTGACAGGCCTGCAGTAAGCCCCTCACCTCCCTTCAGCAGATAGCGGGGCGTAGTAGGCACTTTCCTTCATTAAACAATCCTTCCGCTACTAAAATAAAAGGAGCCAGGAACCTGAGTCCTCAGAGGCCATCCTGCTTCCCTCTGCGGGCCTTGCCGGAAGTGCACCCAGGTGGACAGGGCAAGCAGCCCCCTGACCACCTCTGGTTTCCTGCTCTCTGTGCGGGACTGTCCAACCTGCCCCAGATGGGTGTGTTCTCAGACACCCTGGGAATCTATCACATCTATCAGATGGGTGTGTTCTCAGACACCCTGGGAATATGGCGGCATCTGAAAAGCAGATGATTTGACTCTGACTCCCTCATGGGACGCTGGGGCTCAGTGAGGGCAGCCTTAGCCCGAAGGCAGCTCCTACGCCAGGATAAGGGCAGCCATTCTGGCCTCCTGTTTTGACTCAGTCTGGGGTGCCCTTCCTCCAACCTTGCTCCTCAGTCTTCACACAGTGGCTGAGACGCGCAGAGACCTCCTGGAAGGTCAGCAGCACGTGACTATGAGCAGTGCTCACTAGAAGGTGCTGGTCTCCATGCCGGCTTCCCCGCCCGTGGGCGCCAGGTCTCTCCGGCTCTCCCTGGGCTGGGGCCTCCCGCTGGGGCTGAGGCTGAGGCTGAAGGCAGGTGGGCCGCTGGAGCGCGTGAGCAGCGTGGTGCCCTGGCTCGAGAGGCTGCCGTTGGAGAGCTGCCTGCGCACCCTGGGCCGCACACCCCGGCAACAAGGGCGCGGCCACAGGTGGCTGTTGAAGCCCATGTAGATCCAGGGGTTGCAACAACTGCTGAGGTTCCCCAAAAGCATGGAGATGGTGAAGGCCACGTTGGTTGAGTCTGTGAAGAGAAAAGTCTTAGGATCACAGAGATTCAACAGACCCAGGAGACACTCCAGGAGGAGGAAAAGAACAGAGGAGCTCCCCCCCCCCCGAAAGAGAACAGTTACTCGGGGTTCTACCGTGAGAAAGGGGTGCAATGGGGCTGAACCTGGGGCTCCCAGTCCAGGCTCAGCCCCCACTCATCTCTTCTGTCACCACAGGCAAGGGGACGAACTGAGGTTTGCTCCACATTGAATTTAGAGGCGCAAACTTAACCAGGGACAGGACCCACCCAAATTTGAGACACTTCGCTTCAAAGCCCAGTGGACTAGAATAGGATGTGGCAATTTCTATAAAACATACAAGGAGATGGCCCTCCCTGGTGGTGCAACGGGTTAGGACGCAGCACTGCAAGATAGCCACAGCGGCTTCAGTGCAAGTTTGATCCCCGCCTGCCCCGGAGGTGACCCACATGGCACGGCAGACCTCTCCTGACCCGCCCGCTGCTCCCCTCAGCAGTGTACTTCACTATCTGCCTGTACTGTTTTCCCTTTCTGTCACTGGTGAAGCCTCTCACCGCCCCTGCACCTCTGGCTTGTACCCCAGTTCTGCGTGAATAAATAAATAAATCTTTCCCAAAAATGTTTAAATTAAAATATATATATACAAGGAGATAATGTGATTCTGGACCAATGTCAGGCCCCCCCACCCCCATCCCCATTTACATCCCAGTTGGTGCCTGGGCATCTGTCACCCAGTGTGTAAATACCAGCTGTGCCAGCCAGTGCTGGGGCCATCAGCGCCTGGCAGAACTGTCCACCTCACAGAGCCCAGGGCAGCTTCTCTGCCTGCAGCACAGGGGCAGCCTGGGGGTGAAGGCGTCCATGCAGCCTGTACCAGACTAGTGCTTGTCTGTACTCAGAGATTATTCCCCGCAAGGCAGCACCCTGCAAGGGAAAAATAATTTCTCTCTATGCAGCCCAAATGTGAGAGAGTAAAGATTTGATAAAGTTCCTTCCAGACATAATGTTCCTTCTAAAGACGGGGTAAGGGTGGGGTGGGGGTGAGGATGTCCACACTCCAGGGTAGCGCCATGCACACCCCGGGCCTGAGCACAGTGTGGTGGTGCATACCTCCCTCAGCGGAGTAGTGGGCACCCTCGAGCCCAGGCCTTTCTCGCAGCCAGCCCACACCCACCACTGTTTCAACACACTGAAAGCATCTTCCTCTGCGCATCTCCTGTGGGTCTGCTGACAAGTGTGCCCGCTCGTGGCCCCAGAGAAGGGAAGGTATGTGGTCAGAGCATGCGAGAGGATCCAGGAGTGGTATTGAGAGAAGCTGGAGGCACCTGCAGCTAGACAGGCCTGTCTAGGGTGAGACGTCAGGGTGGCTGGGAGCATCTACAGACAGAGGAGGGACTGTGCTCTGACCTACCCCTAACACCGTCCGAGGGCCCAGAACCCAGGGTCAGACTTGGGAACTTGCTTGGTCCTGGGATAGTCTCATCTTATCTGCTCCATCAATACATCCTTCGGGCCTTAGCTGAGGAGACCCACAAGTTCCTTTGCTTGGCATATCTGTTTGGTTTCCTTTTTTTTTTTTAAAGATTATTTTATTTATGCTCACAGAACCAGGGTACAGGCCAGAGGTGTGGTGGGCAAGATGATTTACCAGAGACAGAGTGGGGAGCATAATAGGCAGGTCGACGAAATACATTGCTAAGGGGAGCAGCGGGCAGGTCAGAAGAGGTCTGGTATGCCATGTGGGTCACCTCCATGGCCGGGGATTGAACTCGTGCCACAGTAGCTTCAGCGAGCTTCATAATGGAGTGCCTTAGCCCATTGCACCACCAGGGAGAGCCCGGGTTTGCTCTTTTAAAGACAACTGTGCAGGTACTGGGCTGAGCCACGAGCAGTCAGCAGGGCTCCACATCTCAGCAGAAGGCAGGCCCCAAGGCCCAGTCACCAGCAGTGCTGTGTCCCAGCAGCAGAAACAGCTGACAGAGGACACAGGGGAAGAGCAGAGACGGCAGGCTCTAACCAGAGGCCCCCGCCCGGGAGCAGAAGCCAGAGGGGGCTGTAAAGGGAACTGTGTGTTCTGGGAAGAACACTTACAGTAACAAATCTCAGCCCAACTAAAAGAACCCCAGAGGGCTTCCTTTTATGTGAAAGAGAGCACTGTGTGTTGGCACAGCTCCCAGGCTCCTTGCTCGGAAGGGCCCCTTGGAAAGTGGTCAGTCAGTCTGCCCAGGTGAGGGGTGTGGATTGAGGGACAGGGACAGATGACAGGCAGCCTGCTCTGGCTGGCGGCAGGCTCCACCCCCGGGGGGTGAATGGCCATCCCACCCCCAGCACCATCACTAGGCTGTGACTAGCTGCAAAACCTTGCATGGTAACGCCTGCCCCACAAAGACTTCGATTCAAGTCCTGACCCCCCCTCTTACCTGTTGAGGCACTATGAACTAGTTGTTTCACCTGAGTCTCAGGTTGCAGAGATACAATAGAGAAGGGTCGCCCCCATGCAGCACAAAGATTGACTGTGCGGGGGGCCCCCAAGGAACCCTCCATCCTTCTAATCTGGGCTGGGCTGGATGGAGGTCCCCATAGCTGGTCGGAAGTAATATGCTCATAGCTTAAAGGGCAGTTTGCAAATAGCCTATCTCCAGGCTACTGTCCAAAAGGTGGTTAAGAAGAGAAACCATGATACTACAAGGTCGTAGGATTTCATCTCGCCAGAAAAGCAAAGCATTTGGCCTGAACATGTCTTGGAACATGATATTAGAAACAAAAGCTCAAGAGAAGTGGACCGAGGGCTGGTGGGAGTGGGCCAGCCACTGACCCACCCCTCAGGAAGAAGCTCCTACGGGCACCTGCTACTCTCACTGTCTGTGCTGAGATAGGCACGTGATGTGAGCGCACACAGTGCCCCCTTGTGGCGTCCCAGCCCATTGCATGTCCCTGCAGTCACATCACTCAGGAGAGTAGGAGCTGATGACACTAACTCCCTTCCCCGCCTCCTCTGGCTTCACCTGGGGTCAACCCACCATCCGGCCGTGTCTAGTGACCGACCACGCTCCACAAAAAGGTGAGAGCAAAGTATCCTGTATCCCTCTTTTTTTAATCTTGTGGAGGAAGTTTTCTCTCCTCCCTCCTTTCAGAACCAGGGTTATGGGTGGGGCTGAGGGGTTAAAGAAAGAGAGGAGGCAGCAGCTGGCTCTGCCCTTGACCTTGACTTTGCTGTTCTTCAGCTGTGTGACCTTGGACAGATGATACTTTCTCTTTCAGCCTCAGCTTCTGCACTAGCAAAAGGAAGGGCTGGCTTAAATTTAGGCTTGCCACGTGCCAGCCGACAGAATTGGAAGGAGGGCAAAGTCACTTCCGGGTGCAGGAGGGGAGCACACCGAGGCAGTTTATGGGTCGCATTCTGGGCTAGATCACTGGAAAATATATTTGGTCACTCTGTGATCCACAGCTACCCTAGCTGGCTGCTGGCCAGCTCTGCCAGTGATTCTGTCTTTAGGACCGTACAGTATTTCTAAACATTTAAATTAGCTACCAAAATTGGAATGTGGTGATTTCACTTAAAAGATAGCACATGGCGGGCCCTCCCTGGAGGTGCCGCTTCAGTGCGAGTTCGATCCCTGGTCCCACAGCTTACCCACATGGCGCAGCAGGGCTCTCCTGACACCCCCGCTGCTCCCCTCAGTGGTGTACTCCATCAGTCTGCCTGTTCTGCTCCCCACTCTTCTGCCTGTTCTGCTCCCCACTCTGTCTGATGAATCTTCTCACCACCCCTACACCTCTGGCCTGCACCCCCACTCTGTATGCATAAATAAATAAATAAATAAATAAATCTTTTTTAAAAGATAGCACATGGCATCAGTAGGCTAGAAGGGAATGGCTATTTCATTGCTTCAAGCCATCTGTCACCTGCCTGGCCCTGGGGAGCACTATGGTGCCACCTGACCCTCCCGCTGGTCTTTCCTGTCTGCTGTCCCCTTTCTCCTCCGTGCCCCAGACTACACACTTGCCTTCATCAGGAGCATTCTTGTCCCACACAGACCACATCTGGACACTGAAGAAGGGTGCCCAGCAGGCAATGTAGGCCAGCACGATGACAAAGGTCATCTTCACAGTGCGGATCTTGGCCCGAGAGATGGTGCTGATGCTGCTGACCCGGGAGGGCAGGCCCTGTGTCCACGCAGCGGGGGCAGCAGCTGAGGGCCTGTCCCATATCCTCCAGCCCCCGCCTTCTACCCTCCAGGCCTGAGTCTTGACTTTGAGGTTCTTGCAGATCTCATGGCAGATGAGGCTGTAGCAGGCAGTGAGCATGGCCACCGGCAGGACAAAGATGGCCACAGTGGTCCAGGTGATGTAGGCACGTGGTCCCCAAGGGAAGCGGAAATCTGCCCAGCAATCCAGTACCCCTGAACCTTGGATCACCTCCCGCAAGGAGAAAATGAAGACTTGAGGGAGGCTGAGAACAGCAGCTAGCAGCCAGGGAACAGCAATGAGCGGGTAGGTGGCCTGGCTGGGCTGCTGCAGGCTGCGCAGGGGGTGGCAAACGGCCAGGTAGCGGTCGAGCGTCATGGCAAGCAGCATGTAGGTGGAGGCGAACATGCTGAGCACCTGCAGGTACTTGACGGCTCTGCAGACGAGGTCAGGGCCCTGGAAGCGGTAGGTGATATCCCACAGCAGCTGGGGCAGCACCTGGAAGAGCGCCACGCCCAGGTCCGTCAGGGCGAGGTGCAGCACAAACAGACGCATGCGGGAGCGCTTGCAGCCCGGCCGGCCCAGCGTCAGCAGCACGGTCATGTTGCCCCCCGTTGCCAGCACGAGGATGGTGGCCAGAACTCCGATCTCCACCTTGGCCAGGTCCTCGTCCCGACCCAGCCAGGGCGTGGTGGCGTTGGGGGCAGAGAGGGTGCCCCTGGGGGTGGGGTGGGTGGCCCATGGTGGCCCAGAATCCATGGTCCAAGCTTGCGAGGAGGGAGAGGGGTGTGCAAATAGAAAGGTTCTGCAGATGGAATGGGGAGAGGAAGGAGAAGGGTGGGGTGACACCAGGAGCCTGGAAATCAGTGGAAATCCTTCCTAGGACAGAGTTAGAGAGGAAGAGGGAGGATGAGATTAGAAAGGAGACCAGGCAGCTGAGATGGCTGGCGGGGGTGGGAGGTGGGGGTCCTGGGAGCCAGGGGAAGGAGGATTAGGGAACTAGGGCAGGAACAATGGAGGAGGCCGTGCAGGGGGAGGTTTCCAGAAGGAGAAAGCTGCCACCACTCCAAATCCACTTCAGATTCATTTGCTCCAAACTGTTCTGGAAGCCAAAAGCGATACCTGCAAGCCTGCTCCGAGGCCATCAATGCAGCTGGCCAGGCTGGAAGCCCCAGGCAAACGCAAAGCAGGCGACAGCTGCCTCCAGCTGCAGCTAACACAGGACTGGGGCAAGGGGCTTTATGGGTTCCAGACAGAGCCCAGCTGCCACCCTGCACGCAGGTTGGCTCCTGCACAGGAGGCGGAGTGAGGAGACTGGCAGGCACCCCCTGGGTGGGCGGGGACTCCGCCACACTGCAAGGTGGACGGTGGGGTGGCCGGGGAGGGTGAGGGAGGAGGACGAGGGCGCCAGAGAACCGAGGACGCAAACAAGCTCACAGACCCACCCACAGAGCTGCAGAAGAACTCACCTATACTGCTCTCCGCAGCCCTTGGGTGGCCCCCCAGACAGGTACACACCGCCTGGGGATAGTCACCCTTCTCGTGGGGATGCCAGGACTGTCAGTGCTGTGGAGCTGCCCCCTCCCCCACAAGCTCCTTGTGAGCCCAGGACAGGTCCCCTTCTGCGGGCCCTGCAGGGTGACCACGTGAGCCAACGTGCAGCCAGGGGGAGCCCTCAGCCTTAGCAGGGCAGCGAGGTCTGGTGCAGTCAGGTGAAGGGCTGGGAGCCCTTCAGCAGAAGTGAGGACCTGCGGTTCTGAGGCCACCTGGAGAACTTGCAGGCATCAGTGTCCCCACGGGAGGTCTTAACGGCACCTTGAGAGAGTGTCTCTCACAACTAGATCCTAAAACCCGTGAAGTAGAAAACAGAGGCCCAGAGAAACCAGCGGTCAGCAGGACAGCTGCGCACTGACTGCCTGATGACTGGACTACCCGAGAGGCCGCGGGTTGGAACACAAATAACAATAAAATGCCATCTGAGCCCTCTCAGCTCAGCGAAGAAGGTGACTTGCCACCATGTGGAATCACTACATTTTTCAGTACATTTAAGGGAGTTATGGGGACCCCAGTGACAGCAGCATGGCTTAAGGCCTCAGAAAGGGCACGTTCTCAAGCCTGTTGGGAGTTCCTCTGGATTTGCCCTTTAATCAAGCCCTCTTCACATGTCACCCACATACCCACTCTGCACCACTTCTGGAAGATTCTGCCTCCTAAAACAAGAAGCCCAAGTCCACCTCCTGCCACCGCTGCAGTACAAAGCCCTGCAGCTTCTCCTCAGCTCCCGTAGCTGCTCCTTTGTGGTCTCCAGCCACACTCACCTTCTGGAGAATTTGGCTCTGCATGAGTGGTTATTTCCAGATTCCATTCCCACCTGTATGCAAACAAATCCGGTGTGGTCCACTAAATGTGTGTCCAGTGTGTGTCCATTCTGACACTACACACCCACCTGTCTACAACCTCTGTCTTCGCAGTAGCAGTAAAACTTCTTCATAGGATGTGGACACTTGTCTTCATTTTCTTGCTCCCAATCATTTTTTGATACATTCATTTTAAATTATATTTTAAATCATACATATTACACATACTTAAATAGTTTCTATATTTTAACAAGTTTCAAAATATTACCTAGATGATATTATATATGTGTATTCACATACCTGCACATTCTAAATGTGCATTCTGAGTGCTACATTATTTTTGAGATTCCAGAACCTTCTTTTTATAATGTAGGTTATTTACTACAATGAACATTCCCATGTCTCTTGTGTTTGTGTGTGAAAATTTCTTGAGGTGTACACCAGAAATGTGTGCCAGGTATTTGAGATTGCTGAGTTACATGGCGATGACGCTTTCAGCTGGATAGGCCCACACCCTACCTTTTAACTCTGAATTGTGATGTCTTATTCTCCAACAGCTGTTTTCTTTCCATTTGCCAAGGTCCTCACAGTCCGACTTCTCAATTTTAAAAATCTGACAGGTGTGAAATAGCATTTCATCGTGCATTTATTTTCAATTTCTCTGTTTATTAATTTTGAGTCTCTTCATATAGGTTTGGATTTCATTTTCTCAGAATTGTTCATATCCTCTGTACACTCGTGTTTTCCTTATCAATTTGTTGGACTCCTCTATGTATTTCAAAAGATGAGAACTCTTAAACATAATGATATACAGTATCATCACCAATCCATTAATAATTCATTAACATTATCAATCATTCAGCCAGCACTCACAACTCTTTAACCATCTAATAAAAATAGCTTATTGTTTAAAATTATTTTCCATTTCTTTGAATCCAGATTCAATAAAGTTTTATATATTAACTTTCAATGGAATAGTACTCAGTGATCAGAAAAGATAAATTCATGCCATTTTCTGCAATATGAGTGGAGCTGGAAGGGATCATGCTCAGTAACGTAAGTCAGGAGGAAAGAGAAAAACTATTGGATTGTTTCACTTATGGGGGAATATAAGAGAACCAAACAAGGGATTGGGAGGAAAGAAAAGTAAGAGACAAAAGATAAAATACAGATATTCTGCAGGGGAAGGGCAGGGGTCAAACCAGGGGAGAAGAGCATAAGAAACTATGGTGACTGTTCACAGGTGACTTGGGGTTTTATGGGGATTACACTTGAGGGGAACAACGATGAAAAAAAATACATACTTTTTTAAAACGTGTCTTTTTTTTTTTAAGATTTATTTATTTATGCTTACAGAATTGGGGAGGCCAGAGGTGTGGTAGGTGAGAGGATTCACCAGAGACAGAGTGGGGAGCCGAACAGGCAGATGGATGAAGTCCCCTGCTGAGGGGAGCAGCAGACAGGCCAGGAGAGGTCTGCCATGCCGTGCTGTGCAGTTCAGCTCCCCGGCTAGGGATCGAACTCCTGCTGCAGTGGCTTCAGAGAGCTTCATAATGCGGTGCTTTAACCCATTGCACCACCAGGGAGGGCCCTGTCTTTTTTTATAGGTTCACTTCCATCCTTTTGTTTCCTTTGTTCCTGGCAATTTATTTCATTGAAGAACTGGATTGTTTTATCCTGTATAGTGTCCTGCTATCTGTATTTTGAGAGTTGTATTCCCATCAAGTTGTTTAACAAGTTCCTGTTAATCAGGCTGAGGCCTGACTTTTTTCTTTTTTCTTTTTGGCAAGTGTACTTCAGAGGTGCTTCTGGCAGCAATCCCTAATGTCTAGTTGCCATCTTTCTACATTTGCAACCATTGATAATTACTGCATTGATCTGCTAATTCTTCAAGTTTGCAAAGTTGTATTTATTTTACCTCTAGGTGGTTTGTGTAGGAAAAGACAAGACAAAAAGAATACTTAGTAGTTTTCCGTCATTAATAGTTTCGAAAGAATGAATTCGTTGCCTGGAATCCTCCAAATTGAGGATTGAAACATATTCAATGGTTTGGGTTTTTTTTATTATTACTTATTTATATTTATTGTTATTTTTTTAAAGATTTATTTATTTATTCATATGGAACTGGGGTACAGGCCAGAGATGTGGGGGTGAGAGGATTCACCAGGTACAGAGCGGGGAGCAGAACAGGCAGATCGATGAAGTACACTGCTGAGGGGAGCAGCGGGCGGGTCAGGAGAGGTCTGCCGTGCCATGTGGATCACCTCCGGGGCAGGCGGAATTCGAACTCATGCAGTAGTGGCTTTAGCTTCTTAGTGCCATGCTTTAACCCACTGCACTGCCAGGGAGGGCCCTATATTTATTATTTTAATACTCTATTTATCTCATCTTTGGCCAATGGGAACTTATTTGATGCCTGAGTCCATTTGTGTTGCTATTGTTCATTAGACAATTAATAGGACCCATTACTTCCACCTCTAGTTTCTATCTAAAAAATTCAAACACACTAATTTGAAAAGAAACTTGCATTCCTATGTTTATTGCAGCACTATTTACTATAAACTATGGAAACAACCTAAATGCCCCACAACACATGAGCCCAGAACAGATGACTGGATCAAGAAGATATGATATATACATACAACGGAATACTACTCAGCAATCAGAACAGATAAACTCATGCCATTAGCAGCAACATGGATGGAGCTTAAAAAGATAATGCTAAGCAAAATAAGATGGCAATGAATAAATCCAAATGGTGTCACTAATATGTGGAATATAAAGTAACCAGATTAATAGAGAAAGACAAGCTGAAAAACTAACCCTTGCTAGCTGACCACAGAACTGAAGCACCAAACTCTCTCTGGCAGTAGAGTAGGGGCGAGTTGGTGGTGGACATTCTATGGTGGTTAATACCTGGTGGGGAATACCCCAATGTTATCTCGTTTAAAAATTAATGAAAAAAAGTTGAATATTGAGATGTAATTCACCTATTATAAATTTTACCCTTGAGGATATAATTTTCAGTGTATTCAAAAATTTGTGCAACTATCATTATCACCTAATTCCAGAATACTTTTGTCACCCCAAAGGAAGCCCCATTTTCATCGATAGTCTCTACATTTCCCCCTCCCTCTCAATCTCTATTTATTGGTTTCCCTACATTCCTGCACTTCTTCCCATCTCTGGATTTCCTATTCTGACACCTCAGATATGTGGAAGCACACAAAGTGTTCTTTGTCTGACTTCTTTCACATAATTTTTTTCAAGATTTGTCTCTGTTTTTGTGTGTGTCATAATTTATCCCTTTTAGTGAGTGAATAATATTCCATCCTATGGATATTACACCTGTTGTTTATCCTTCATCACTTCATGAACATTTGGTTTGTTTCCATGTGGGACTATTATGAATAGTGCTACTAATGAAGACCATATAGACATTTTTGTGTAGTCATATGTTGTCATTTTCTTGGGTAT